AGTGGAAAGAAGTTGACAGACTGTACCACAAATTTGAAAAGTTAAACAGGAACTTTCTTCGAAACAGTTGTGCAGACACTGATGAATCACTGGAAATTACTGATATTTCTTAAAATGAAGTGAGATGACAACCTTCACAAACGATTTTTTATGTCCACTAGGTAGTTAGTAGAAATAAAGGGAAGAACGCAAAATAGTTGGAGTACAGCAATCCAATAATGCATTGTTACATAAATTTCAACCTAGAAATAAAAGTTTATAAATGTTCCAGTTATTATAAAATGAAAGACTGATTCGATTGACATGTCATCAACGTTTTTCATTTATATACTTTAAATGTTTTTTAAAAATGTGAACGGAGATTTTTTAATGAAATATTCATTAGCTACTTATGTTATACTTCTGGTAGATTTATTAACCCAAGAAACAAATATTGATCATTTTTTTTCAAGTTCATACTCTTTAACAACATATAGATTTACTGTCACAGCAAAATTTGCAAATAAACAATGCTTTATATATTTCTGCAAAGAACTTACAAACAATGTTCATGGTATTATGATTAACGTTTTCGGATTAAAAGCTTAAATGAAACAAAATTTCAATCCTGATTGGTTAAGAGCAATGCACTTTCGTTAAATACTAGTGCTAAGATATGAAAACACCGGTGAAAAAACGAATGCCAAATTATATATTAAAAATGCGTCAACTGTTTTCAAACAACCAATGATCTAGGCCCATCAAAATAAAAACATTTGAAATGCAGGAGCGTTACTTTTATTGTAAACAAAGCAATTTTAATGGCTTTAAGTATATTTTCTTTTACGTTTATCACTGCTAAAAATAGATATCTTGTTCTGGCTGTTATTGTTATGGAAGCTTTGGTGTTGTGAAAAATAATATTGTGCGAATTGAAAAAATACGTGCCGGCCGATAACTTGCCGCTTGAAATGTACCTGCGCTGAAGTTAAAATCCCTTAAATAAGCAGTCATATTTCTTTGAAAATATTAATAGTCTTTGTAAAACTTACTCGTGCATGTTTTCCCAAGTGCACTCAAAACCATGCTAGGTATACAGACTAGTTTTAGTCACTTTGAGGCTCTCAAGCGGAGAAACTTTGCTATAATGCAAATATTCATGCTAAGTGAAAAAATTCATGGTAAGTGCAGAAATTCACGCTTTTAAAATTCGCAGGGTGCCATTTAGACCTGTTGACTAGAAACTGATCTGACTGGGTATAAGCTACATAGGTGTCAAAAATGAAGCGTAATTATTCCTGGTACGCAAAGGGTTTACGGAGTTTTAAACTTGCCAGGGCTTTTTATTCGGTGTCGCAAGTGGGTAGCCACAGCGAGCCCACAGGTCGAGCATAACAAATATCTACATTAGCTATTCAGTACTGCTAGAATTGCTATATTATATTAAAACATCTATTAAAATTACAGCATCATTGCGCCAAAAGCAGTAGATAGCTGTCAGATGTGTAATTTCTTTATCGAGTCAGGTACGAAGCATCAAAATAGGCCATTGTGACAGCGGATATCAATATAAATATGTAATGTTGGAATTGGCCACTTCTTGTTGTCATACGATGAGCATGTGTGCTGCATTTTACAATATTGGAAAATTCACTAAATTTTGGCAAACATATTATGTTGATTTTTTAAAGATATAAAAAATTTGCAAGACAACAAAAGTGCTCATGACGTGTTTTTTAGCAGACAATATTATAGTAGTTTATACGATTTTAAAAAAATTTGCAACTTATTTTATAAATGAAAAATTTTATGTTGATGGAGAGTGAGCCTCTTAAATTTGCGGATTTTAAACATAACTTCCTATGGACCGTGAGTATAAAAAGACTGGTGATTAACGAAGAAAATGGCTTGCGTGAAGTCACATCGGGAGGGCATTTGTTATGGTCGATAACGTTTTTATTATAGCAACCCAAAGGTAAAACTTTTAAACGTTTGCTAAAAATTTTTGATAAGGTGCCACACAGATGTGTCGCGTTTACATGTACAAACCAATGATTTCGAAGAAAGAGTTTGCTCTCCGTAGAATCGCATAGGCAAATGACACAGACCAGAAGCTAATAATCGTAAAATGCTTGGTTGATTATGTAAAAAACGCAAAATTATTTGGAAAACTTCTGCGACTTTTCAAATTGCTTTAAGCATTTTATACGGATGACTTTGTGTGCCACTTTACTTGTGAGATTAAAGTGGGTAATTTTGACAGCCCGCTGCTTGTAGCTTCAAACTTAAAAGGGTTATTTAATTAAATAGAAAAGCGGTGAAGCTGGCTTTGAACACATTTAAAACCACTTTAAACAAGATGAATTTGAATAAACGCGTCTGACAAAAACAAATTAGCGAAGGTTTGAAAAATGTTTTGTATTGATATGTTTTCATAATACTTCAATGAATAAAAAAAACTATTGAATTCGTTTTTTGCATTATATCAAGAATTATTCAGACTTCGGACAATGTTATCCACCTCAGTTTCGCTTCGAAGATAACAATGACTTCGGTCTGAATAATTCTAGACCGAAGTCATTGTTATCTTCATCCAATAATTGCTTATTAACCCTTTTATGAAAACTTCAAATTAAAAGACTCCTAATATGTTATAGAATTGAAAAATAAGAGACATTTTAACTGACAATCACGTCGGTAATACGAATTAAATTGCTGGAGATGAAACAACTATTGAAAAAAACAGATAGTAACACAGTGACAAACAAGATTAACGCATTTGTAGGTGGTTTGATAGTGGTTTCGCAGAAATATGAGAAAAAAATTTCACAATTTACAGATGAATCATGCACTAAATATTTTCTAAAATCAATCAGCAATTTTACACATACTAGTGCAATATTAGACTGTGAAAAATATATTTGTGTAAATGATATTACCTTTGTACGTTTGATATCATATGCAATGCCTTCTTGATATGTTGTCTCCGTCTTCTCTTACTTTTCAATTGTTTCATGTCCTCACTGCCGTTTTTATAAGCATCAGTGCGCTTATGTAAACAAACTTTTCTTTCTACCTGCGAATTGGGAATGTCTTAAATTTTGCTAATGGCCTTTTATTAAAAAATACGTGTCGCAAGTTACCACTCAAACGCGGAAATGAAAAGTAAAACATACGTGTGTTATTGTTGATAAGTTTTATTTCGTTTGTGAGACATCATTTTAGAACTTTTGTTGATGACTATGCATAAGCTTTATAGAAGGATATTATGTAGCAAATGTCTTTCGTTTCGTTTATGCGACATCATTTAGGGTATAAATCTGACATATCCTTATCAAAATTCTAAATAAACTATCTGAATGAAAAACTGCTGATGTTGTAATCATATGACACTTATTCTTAAAATAGTTTCTTAAAGAACACGAAAACAACACCTAAATTTTACTTGCTTACTTATGTAGAAAAAGCAAAAACCGTGTTCACTACGACCATTTATAACATAGAATGACAAAGTCATGTGATACACAATATCAATTTTCGTAATTGCTGTTCACAATTGTAAAAGTTCCTCAAACTATGATGCCATAAATGTATAAAAATTAAGAATTGTCATCCTTCTTATTTCACGTAAAATTTCCACATTTGCATAAGGTTTTTTTGAAATTTCCTAAATGAACTCTTAAATTTAAGACGTGCTGGTAGAGATGGGATTCGATCCCATGCCACTTTGATGACTGGCACTTACAACCAGTGCCTTAAACCACTAGTTTGGGGAAAAACAATTATGTCAATTATACAGAAACTTTTTTTGTCAAGCGCCAACACAATATGACACCAAACGCTGTTATTTCGCTCGTCGATTGCTTCAATTTCATTGTATCGTCCTCTATCTTATATGGCCATTTGTTAAACTGATCAGCTGTCGCTTCGGAAGTTAAAGGAG